TTTATGTAGTGATGACTCTGATTTCCACCACAAATCAGAGTCAATGTGCCAGTTTTTCGATAAACGTGGTTACCCTGTTTCTGTCGTTCAAGCGGGTTACCACCGCGCCCAACTTATTGATCGACATTCAGCACTACAAACGTCGCATAAGGAAGATTCCGACCGCATTCCATTCACTCTCACGTTTCACCCTCACAACCACTCAGTTAAATCCATCATTCTTAAAAACTTTAAATTACTTCAAAACGATCCAGAGACAAGCACTATCTTTTCGCAGCCTCCGCTCATTTCATTCAAACGCGACAAAAACATAGGCAATTTTTTGGTCAGAAGTTCTTTTCAGACTAATGACCAACCAGGCACTTTTAAATGCGCTCGTGCACGATGCAAAACGTGTCCTTTCATTCACAACACTGATAAAATATCGGGACCTAAACGATCCATTAAGATCACCGATCACTTCACGTGCACCTCCGCCAATGTAATCTATTGCATAACTTGCACTTATTGCAAAAAGATATACATCGGCGAAACAGGCAGAAGACTAGGTGACCGATTCCGAGAACACCTTCGAGACGTGGAAAGGAATGACAAGGACACATCGAAACCAGTCGCTAGACATTTTAATTTACCTAATCATTCTAAGCAACATATGGCAATCTGCGGTCTTTCCTTGCACTTAGGTGGCACGGAAAGCCGTAAAAATCTTGAACAAAAGCTCATCTTTCAAACCGGCAGTCTAAATCCCACAGGGATCAACGAACGCTTTTCATTCCACTAATTTATTCATGTTTTTCTCGTTGCCATGCTCCCACCAATAACGTAGCTCCATTTTCTGCCTTTAAAAGCACACACAACCCACAATTTCTCTATTCGCTCCGATGAAGGGCTAACGCTCGAAACGTCAGCTTTTGTAATCATTACGGTGGCCAATTTACCATTTCAACTTTGTTGATATATCCAAAATACATCCTGAGGCTCCCTTATTCGACGATTTGAAAGGAATCACAGGAAATTAAACCATTTTATTTGTTCCACGTGAAACCTTTGTTCTGAGCTAATTTTTACGCTGAGGTAGCACAATTCGAACCAGTTTGGGAAAAGTTCAGTGCTAACAGAAGAAAAAAGCGCATGAATATTACTCACCATCTCCGACTTCAGCCCCACGTTTAGGCATGCCAGATCGGGTTTTAAGCTAAACAAATGAACAAAATGTTTCTTCAAAATCAACAAAATATTGCTCACAGGACCAACAACTTCATTAGTGCAAGAAAGTCTTCTTTGCGATAACATTTATATGATCTCTTACGTAAATCAAACGTGGTGTCCAAGATGCTTTCTCGGGTCGTGATTGGTTGATATTTCCCAGCCTGTCGTCTCATTGGTCGCTCGCTTTTCGTACCTCTCCAAAACGGAAGTACTTGTTCTCCCCAGCCACGATAAATTTGGAAACATTACATCATGACCTCTTGAACATAAAGTAGTCAAAAATTGTCACAGCTTTCGAATGATTCCTTTCCCCGAAACCATCGCCATTGCATCGTTTGGATGCTTACTCCTTTAAGAGTGAAGCACCTTTTACAGAATGATTGACTTCACGTAGCTTATTTCTTCTGAGTGAAAGTTCTGATCGAAAATTATCATTTGGATCAGTACAAACCGGAAATAAGGATGATAGCCTTCTAGAAAGACCCCCAGTGAGGAGAACTTTTGACCGGAACCACGGATTCGGGAATCACTGAACATAAGGTGGAATATGCGCAAGACGGGAAAATTCACGTGTGAGGTTTCGTGGCATTCCATTGTTTATCCATAGTACCTGCGAACAACCGTGCCATATTTGCACACACAAACTGAATGGAAGCTTTTCCTTCAAGGCCAGAGCTCGTCTGAGTCGCCACTTGGGCAATGACTCCTTCTTGCCTCTAGCGGCTTGGCTCCACCAGCCCTCATAATTACTCCAGGCAGATTATATTTCTATCGTTTTATTCTAATTAGGTACAATTATAATTTGGGCATGAAAGAGTAAACTTAAAGATTATCACTTCACGTGCACCTCCGCCAATGTAATCTATGGCATAACTTGCACTTATTGCAAAAAGATATACATCGGCGAAACAGGCAGAAGACTAGGTGACCGATTCCGAGAACACCTTCGAGACGTGGAAAGGAATAACAAGGACACATCGAAACCAGTCGCTAGACATTTTAATTTACCTAATCATTCTAAGCAACATATGGCAATCTGCGGTCTTTCCTTGCACTTAGGTGGCACGGAAAGCCGTAAAAATCTTGAACAAAAGCTCATCTTTCAAACCGGCAGTCTAAATCCCACAGGGATCAACGAACGCTTTTCATTCCACTAATTTATTCTTATTTTTCTCGTTGCTATATTCCCACCAATAACGTAGCTCCATTCTCTGCCTTTAAAAGCACACACAACCCACAATTCTTCTATTCGCTCCGACGAAGGGCTAACGCTCGAAACGTCAGCTTTTGTAATCGTTACGGTGGCCAATTTACCACTTTAACTTTGTTGATATATCCAAATTATTAAAGATTATCGCCCCTATTGTTGTTGTTGTGAAAAAATGAATTAAAACCGATTTCTAATGCACAGGGGGAAGGGGGGAGTTAATGACCCTTGTCTGGGAGGCATATAGACTTGCTCACAAGTCGCGCTTTTGAGCGCGTAGCGCGACAGTAAGCTCAAAGCGCGAGCGAGCCGAGCTGAGCGAGGGAAAGCGCGACTTGTTTCCCTTGCAGATGTTTCACATCAAGTGACGTCATTTTGGCGCGAACTTCTGCAAGCGCTGCCTGTCAAACTGTCAAAATACTTTTCGCACCTCGCGAAATCGATCCATGGCTTGGTAATGGAGAAGGAAACTACACCAACTAAAACTTTGATTCGGGTTGCTGTACCGGAAAACATTTGTCTACAATGTGGCAAATTGGTGGAAAATCCGGCGTTACGGAGATAAAATCTGTCCTCTCCTGTTGAAATGGATAAAACAAAGCGCAATAGGAAACGGTGCAATAGTAGCGAAGGGGCTAAAAAACGAGGGAGGTTGGGTCGAATCGTGTAATGAACACTGACCGTTCTTTGGGGGTCTCCCTTTACCTCTTTGTAAGACTTACTCATGGAAAATTATTCAGCCTTTTCACGCATTACAAATAACATCCGAAATTCTTCCACATTCACGCGAAATTCAAGACGATCACGTTTCACGAATCGCGTTTATTCAACTCTTCATTCACGGGTAACGTTCAAATAATAAATTTTTTCATGTAGACATAAAAAACAAATCGTTTTCAATCACGATTCACGAATAATAAAACCAAATCATGATTCACGAAGAAATCACGCTTCACGTAAAAAAGTATAGGGGACCCTCTTCTTTACGCGACCCCAACCAAAGCCCCTATTACTGAGCTACAAAAACGCGATGATAAGTTAGGTCAAAGCTAGATTCATAATTGTGAGACCCGTCGAAAGGGTGTGGTGTGATTAAAACGAACGAGGAAAATGCTACTTTCCCTCGTTATTGTATTTACTCAAACAAAGATAACATGCTGGAAAACAATTCTGCTGTACGCAGAAACATGACCTTAATATTTACCATTAAAATATACATGTTTGTCAACTTATGTTTATATCTTTTTGGTCTCTTTTTAACTCCTGAATAACACTTGTAATTGCCGTTAACTATTTACATATATAAACAAGAGTGCCCAAATAAAAAATCACACAGAGGTCTGTGCAAAATGTAAATAGACTTTAAATACTTCATGTGATGGAACCCTCAAGTGAATCTGTCCTCTCCTGTTGAAGTGGTAATACATCACTTGTCCCATTTCGGCTTGTTTCTTCACGACGTCCCGTCTTGTCTGGCGACCGATTCTGGTCAGAGTTCAAACTTTCGATAGATTGTGCGTTTTGCTGCGGATCATCCGCCAGTATCTCTGGTCCACTTCGACACGTACCATCACGCTCTTGTTCGTTTTCTCGGCGGTGGGCTGAAAAGAAATTAAAACACAGAGTTTTGCTTAGTTTTATTTATGCGTAGGTAGACCAGACTCGAGCAATGAGCCTCCCTAAATGTCACTATTGTAGACGAATGGTAATAATCCTATCCCAAAAATATCGATGCATATTATTACTCAATTTTCCCTCCACAATAGTGAAACAAAAATTACGGTACATCAGTTTGACACCGCGGAAATACGTTTTTTAAGGCACGATACAGTATTTTATTGGTCAGCGGACACCTCAACGAAACCATAAAATGCCGTTAACTTTAACAACAGGGAGCTTGAGCAGCAGGACTTTTCTTCACGACGGAGGGCTTATTACCGTGAGGGGACTAGATCGAGATTGGCGTTCTTGGCGCGAATTTTTCACTTTAAGCAGACTCCTTTTTTTCACGACGGACATGAGCGTAGAAAGCGCGCGAAAATAAAAATTGCAAGCCCGTGATGTAAACAAAGAAACAAAAATTGCTTTATGTTGTGCGTTCGCACTTGAAACAACGAAAATGTGTTCATTTAAAAAAGCTGGGGAAATGCTTTCATTAAGCCATGACATGAACGTCATCAGTGACGAAGAACTACTTCTGTTGCTCGAAGAAAACACGTCTAGAAACCTCGAATTCAGCTATGGCTTGTACTAGCGATTTGACTCAGATGAAATCTCTGAGCCAGAATGTACCTATACTTGAGTTTCTATATTGTTAACCATACACTTAACAAAGTAAACAAGTCACATGTACAGAGGTTGCCAAGAAAACTATCGGTAAA